TGTTGAAGCAGCCATGTCAGGGAGATGCTGTGTGTTTCTAGGCGAAAGCAAAAGCATTTTATTTGGCCTTCCAGAAGTAGATGCATTTAGGAATCTTTAAGATTACTTACAACAGAACAGCAATGCATTTTATGGACGCGCGCGCGTGCGTGCGTGTGTGTGTGTGACAGAGAGTGAGAGAGAGATCACAGTGGAGTCAGCTGTCTTAACCGTGGCTTGTGTACTGCAAACACATACCAGCTTCATCACTGTGTCTGTCACGCGACTCTATTGCCCTTTCGGGCTCTGTCTTTACATTTATTTTGAAAGATGAAATGGCTGCAATATAACAAAGAGTGAAAAATTTAAGGGGGTCTGAATACTTTCCATACCCACTGTATGTGAAAATAAGTGTATAAATAGAATAGAGCTCAGCTGATGATCTGAATGAGAGAGAGAGATGCAGAGCGTGTGCAGAGCAGGGGGACGCGAGGAACAGTATTAAGAACCGCTGCTTTAGAACACTGATTTTGAAACTTGTGAATCAATCCATTAGAATCGTTAGAAGACAGAATCGCGATTCATATATGAATAGATTTTTATGTGCACCTCTAGTTTTCTCTTCCTCTTCTCTAAAGCAGCACAGCATGGCCTCGCCTCCTTCATTGCGTGTTCCCGGGGGCGGGGTTTATCTGGGTTTGTGATGTCACGAACCCGGGAAGTAGCTCGTTGTAGTCCCTACCAGCCGTTTTTGTAGGCATTAAACTGCCAGAATTTTAAAAGATGATATCTCCGTTTGCATTGAACTTTCAGCTTTGTAACTTTGCAGATATTGTTTATGCTCAAACAGCAACATTAGACACTAACTAACGTAAAAAAATTTAAATCGCAATGAACCACCCCTTTAACTGACTTTTTTCATTTTAATACATACTTGCTGAATAAAAGTATTAATTTCTTTCAAAAAAAAATCTTACTGATCCCAAATTAAATACTAGGTAACACACTTTACAATAAGGTTCCATTAGTTAACATTACTTAATGCATTAACTAAAATTAACTAACAATGAGCAAAACACTTTACTGAACTTATTAATCTTTGTTCACATTAGTTAATAAAAATACAACTGTTTATTGTTAGTTCATGTTAGCACAAGTCTATTAAATAATATTAACAAACAACTTTTGATTATAGTAATGCATTAGTAAATACTGAAATTAACTAATAAATGCTTTAGAAGAATTTTTCATTGTTAAGTCATGTTAACTAATGTAGTTAACTAATGGTAACAAATTTAACCTTATTGTAAAGTGTTACCAAGTACTTAACCTGGGAAAAAAAGTCTTCAATGATTAATTTCAAAAGCATATTTTACTTATCACTTACTAAGGCACATGAGATCCAATAATCACCTAATCTATTTATTTAAATATGCATCAAATATTAATGGTCACACAACCTCAGGTGTATGATGATAAACTTTTACCAATCCCACTCTGTTTGCTTGTTCTGCTTCTTCCACATATGACACACAACTACTCAAAACACAACCTAATTTTTTTTTTTTACCATCACTCTTTATAAGAGTCTATTTTAAAACAGCAAGGCATAACACAAGCTGCTTGTTCCTCTTTGCCATTAATTTTCTTTATAAGCAATGCTGCAGAACTGAGAGGGGTTGGGACGTGCTGATAAAAGAAAGCTTTTACGAAAAACAGAGAACTTACTCAACCTGTTTAGGATCAGATTGAGAATCCCAGTAGGTTAGTGCATGACAAACGGTGACTGACAGCTCCGTTTGAGGGGGCGGGACTTCAGACAAGAGTAAGGAAACCTTATGAATTAGGAGTTATTTCCTCAAGAGAACTTCATTGGCACATTAGAGTAGCACTTTAACCTAAATCCTGAATAGGAAATTTAGGAAGCGGACTTTTCAGAGATATATACCATACTTGTAATTAATACATTGTATAACAATGGAAAAACTCCTAAGAGTGTTGTGAACTAATCATCCATCTCATTGTTTTGAGTATTCACAATGGCAGCATCTAAAAATATCAGAGTGTGTTGAAACCCCTAAACTGTGATCCAGTGAGTTTCATGATCTATAGCATCTATTCATAGTGTAAAAGGAGTCAGAGGTCTCTTCGGAATCCCCTTTTCCCTAGGAGAAGCAGGGGAAGTGGTGTGAAAGTGCCCTGGCCATGTGATGAAACCAAATGTTTTCTAGATCCTTGTCTGACCATGCTTAATGGAGAAAAGGGGAACCCATTCTCACACAATCTGTTGCACTAAGGACAGTATCACATTTTTCATAGTTCTCTTGGACAGTTAATAGTTCTTAACATGAAGATCTAAGAGTGTGCAAAATACTATGATAGGGCAAGCCACTTCCTGCACAGAGGTCATAATTTCCGTCCTGAAAGGGACTCTTTATCAGTACATCAAGTAATGGAGATGAGTCAAGCAACCCAATAATAATCGAAACTACAGTTACAGAGAACATACAAAAAAAATTAAAAATTAAAAGGAAAAAGTGGATCTAGACCCACCTATTTTTTCTTTTTATTATATGAAGATCACATTAAAACTGACATGGACCAGTATTGTTAAATACATCTAAAAAAATGTATTTGTTTATGGTAATTGAACTAGAATAAAAAAATAAATATTACATGGAAAATTCAAGTTAAAAACTCAAAATACAAAAATTTGAAATGTTGTCTTGGCAACTAACTGAAATAAATAAATTCAAGCCGAAGTAATAAAATTACTAAAACAAAAGCTGAAAAATAAAATAAATAATAATAATAATATTTTATATATATATATAAGTAATAAAAATTTCCAAAAGCACACGATATAAAAATATAAAATATAAATTAAAAGTGAAATATTAATAATACTATAATAGTATATGAATAATATTAAAATAAAACTGACTTGGACACTGAAAATATTATTTAATATTGTGTACCAAGGATAAAAAAAAATGCTGGCTGTGAAATGAGTGCTAGAAAGACAAAGGAGTCCAAGATGATATTTTCATGGTCTTGGTATTGTCATGGACTCAGGACCATTTGAGCTAAAACTCAGACTTGACCTTCTTCTGGTCTTAGTCTTGACTTGAGACCTATTCAGGTCTTAGCCTTAACTTGAATGAGCTGATCACACCTACAACACTACCACCATCGTCATTTCCACTACAGAAATGCTGTTAAAACCAACACATCATTTGAGATGTGGTGGACATGATGTGGTGTTCTCTAAATGTCCAAAAAAATTAACAATTAAATAAATTGAAGTTGAAGAAACAACATTTATTGCTGAACCCTGAACAAGGCTACAGATGCCATTTATCCAATGGACATTATCATTGTAAAACATCAGGGTCTCAACATAACTTGCTGTTTTGCATCCTTTCTTGGTTTCCTATTACAACTAGAGCGCTATCAGACTTCAAAGTAGAAAATGAAATCTGATGATCCTCAAACCCACAGCAGAACTTACCTCAAGCACAGGGCCTGCCCCCAGGATGGTTCGTTCCACTCCACTAGTATAGCCCTTCTGGCTGAGGGCAGTCAGGCAGTGGATAAGGAAGTTGGTGCTTTGCGTCTTACCAGAACCACTCTCACCGGAGATGACGATGCACTGGTTGACCTGTTTGTTCAGCATTGTGTGGAAGGCAGCATCAGCAATGGCAAAGACATGAGGTTCTAGCTTGCCTAGCGTGTGGTTCTCATACATCTTGACATATCTGGGATTGTAGATGGGGAGAAACTTGAAGGGGTTGACCGCGATAAGAATGTTGCTCGCAAATGTGTAGATCTTCTGCTTGTGGAAGCGATGCCGTAGGGTTCCCAAGATGCTCTCCTCCGTCAGCTCGGGGAGATTACATAAATCATCGTATTCCTGAGGCTGTTGCGTGACAAAACCTCGATTTGCAAGTCCCTGAGCTACTTTTTCTTGTCGGACAGATGTCATAACATCATACTGGATGGATCCATCATAGCTTCCCTCTTGAAGGGCGAAAAAGTATCCATCACTTTGAGGGTGCTTGTCTTGGGCCTTTCTAGGCCAGAGAAGGACCCTTTGAACAGGCTGATCGCTGGCTTGAAGGACCCACTCCTCTCCACCGTACTCCTGGACCTCCACAAGGATGTAAGGCTTGGACGTGTCCATGCCAAGTGTGGCGACAGCGGTCTTGATGACAGTGGTTGCTGTTGCCTCTTTTGGGACCCTGAGGATGCAGCCTTGCCCAGGTTTGATGGCAAATCTGGGGTAAATTTGCAAAGTGCAGACCGCTTCATCCTGGTAGCTTGTCACCTTGCTGTTCATGACATTCATTCTTTAAACACACAGACATGCATCAGCATGTCACACTGCACAGTAGAGCATGATAAAGATCTGGATACAAAAAAGAAAGAATGTGAGTTTAAGTGAGAAACAGCAGTCAACCACCGGTGTATGTACACACTTGTCTAATGTGGGAACTGCAGCAGTTTATAAAACAGCATAAACTGTGTGCCTGGTTGTACAGATTTTATATGTGACCCTGGACCACAAAACCAGTCATAAGGGTCCATTTTTTTAAATTGAGTTTTATACGTCACCTGAAAGCTGAATAAATAAGCTTTCTATTGATGTATGGTTTGTTAGGATAGGACAATATTTGGTCGAGAAGATACAACTATTTGAAAATCTGGAATCTGAGGGTGCAAAAAAATCTAAATATTGAGAAAATCGCCTTTAAATTTGTCCAAATGAAGTCCTTAGCAATGCATATTACTAATAAAAAATTAAGTTTTGATATATTTATGGTAGGAAATTTACAAAATATCTTCATGGAACATCTTTACTTAATATCCTAATGATTTTTGGCATAAAAGAAAAATCGATAATTTTGACCCATACAATGTTTTTTTGGCTATTGCTAAAAATGTACTCTAGCAACTTAAGACTGGTTTTGTGGTCCAGGGACACACACACACACACACACACACACACACACACACACACACACACACACATACATACATACATATACATATATATGTTTAAAAATGTAAATGTTTTAATAAAAAAAAAAAAAAAGTAATTTTCACTTTCAATGCTCAAGTACTGTTGTTCATTTCTATTTATTTATTTATTACTTACTATTTTTCTCTGTCAGTTAGGTTGACTTTTCTTACTGTGTGATTATATGTAAACCATGTTAAAATATAATGTGAAAAATAATACTCTCCTAAATGGTTACAATATGGTCAGAACATAGAAAGACAGATTTTTGGTTTTTAAAATATTTCTGACATTTAGAGAAAAATATAAATACACCATCCTAACATAGCATAAAATTGTATTTAATTTTATATACAAATGAACAGCGTAATAAAACGCACCCACTAATCACCAAACACGAGGGAAAACGTCATGACGCGTTTTAACAACCGTGACAAACAGTCTATTTAAAGTTTAGAAAATCTATAGTTATCTTTCAATGGACTCTCAATAAAAATAAAGAACATTAAAATAATACAAATACATTTACCTGGTTCAAAACACCCTAGTTGTGCTCCAGAGCGGAGTAATTTCCAACATGGGAAAAATCCTGCCATGCTTTCCAGACAAAACTTCCAGCGCTTCAACTAACTAATAAAAGCCGTCCACCTACATTACTGCCGAACCGGACACCGTAACCCGACATATACTGCACAGGTCAAACAATTAAGATTCTGTAAACAGCATAAGTGGCAGACTCCGATAAATGTTCAGCGAGAAATAAGGAAGAATACTAACTCGCCTCCAGAATGTTGACGACACTGGCGGCTTGTTACTTCCTTACATCGTAGCGTGTTTAATTGCAGCTGAACTGTGTGATGACAAGCCGCCCTCGCCTGCATTCAAACTGCCATTGCAGTTGCCACGCGCTCACCGCTCACGTAGGTAGTAACACCTGTAAGTTTAAAACTTGGATACCCATCCAAGATCCAGTACCCCTCTCAAAAGTCATTGTTATGTTTGTGATTATGATCGTGAAAAATGTTTTTACTTTTTTGTATTTATTTATTTAAATTTAAAAAGAGATTGAAACAGGAAAGGTACACATTAATGCCCAAGTGTTACTCCGCGATGCATGTTTGGTTCTCACCTGCAGGCGGCAGCATACAACACCAATCCCTTTTCGGTCAGTAAGAGTCCTTTTCTATTGTGTTATTTCAATGAGAGAAAATCTAGAGTTCGATTTTCTCGGTACCGTACAAAAACTTTCATTAACAATATAAACAAACATTATTATAACATTATCATTACAACTATAATGCCATTTTTTAGATGATTATTAACCCTTATGCGCTGTTCAGGGTAATTTGAAACCCCAAATTAAGTTTGCTGAAATGTAAAAATAAATCAAATAGAAATGTTACCTTCATCTAAATGGCATGAGACTTCATGACTTTGTTGACACTTGCTAGCTCTACAAACAAACAAAATAAATAAATTGGAATCATTTCTAGTTGTATGTTAGTGTAAAAAAAAGTCAGACTCAGGATGTTCAGGGTCAGGGTGACACAACAACACATTAAAGATGGATAACAAATGCAAACACACACACACACACACTAATAAAAAAATTCTGCTTGATTTACTTCAAAAATATGAATTTGTTTGCACAATTTTATTACGTAGATCAAACAAGACCAGTCTTTGTACAAACTACTTAATTTTTCTGTCCGTTGAAAGAAAATTTGCACATAAAGTACACTTAATTTTAGTATTTCTTTAGTCTTTTTTGTGTGTGTGTGATCTACATAACTTTAAGTGTGTATTTTTTATATCTTTAAGTGTGAAATGTGTATTTTTGATTGAATCCAACTTAATTTTTAAATTTCCCTATTACAAATTTCAAGTGGGATCTACTTTGTTTTTCCAAATTTGTTAGTGTATTTTTAAGTTACATGTACTAAAATTTCCTAATTAGCAAGTATTTCTACTGAAAGTATAAATGCAGTTAGTTCTTTTTTTTTTTACAACTATTTACTATTCCACTACTGGTACTTTTCAATGGAATGCCAGTAGAATATATACTCATAAAATATGGAAATCTAGTTATTACATCACATAAAGCTGACATTTTTGCCATTTGATAGTAAAAACGGCACAGAATATTTTCTATAAAATTGTGTTTTTCAGTCCTTAACAGTAACATACTCTAAGACTTTAAAACAAGAAGCACACAAACATGATCCCAATGTGGAAATGAAGCAGATCTTCTTATAAAGCAA